AAGAAAAATATAGAGGAAATATATCCGTATATACAAATTTCAAAAGTGTTTTAACGTTAGAATTCGCGAACGCAGCACAAATGTATTTAATAAACTGAAATTTAAGTGAAGGAAATCCAAGCTTATCTGTTCCACAACATTATTACATGCATTGACTGCCGTGTCTGCCACCGCTGGGCAGCACAGCATCCTCAGATCACAGTTAATTTTTACTTTTCAATGTTCTTCATTTTTCCATTATATTAATATTTAATATTTTCTTGAATTTGTATGTTCGATTTAAAAAGTTCAAAAATTTCAGGTATGAAACACTGAAATTCAAATTCCTCTAGAGAATCGTTAGATCAAATTATTTTTGCTGTCCTATAGCCCACACTCAGTATTTAAACATTATAAAATATATACACTGCGTACAATATATAACAATACAGTAATACAAACAAGTAATTATACACACTGTACCACTATTATATTCTTCGTATAATACAAAAATCGCTCAGCAGCGTAACGCGGTAATGAGACCTTAACACGTTCGCTACCAGCGATTGCGTCAGTAGCGATCCTCTCGATTATAATGTTTTATTAAATTCAATAAATCTTCTAAACAAACTATTGAAACAAATAAAGCTAAAACGAGTCATTGAATCCCTAAATGTAATTTCGCAGCTTATAACTTTAACTAACTGTATCTATAGGATTAATTTAATTTTCTTTATATAAAATATAGGATAGACGCCGTCACAAATATGTGATACTGGTAGCGAACGTGTTAAGGTACTTTCAGGTTGTGGAAGGTTCAAGGACGGAAAATGTCATATTAAGGTAGTTCGAAAAAGCTAATTGTTAAGGAGACAGTCTTGCGGCCGCATCTTATGTGCGCAGAGTTCAAGTACCGCCGGAGGATGCATCTTTGTACGGGCACACCTGAATCAAGCGGCGTTCACAAGAGCGCGCGCGGACCGCGAACAAAGACGCACGGACGTGCCTGCGAAGCGGCACGACCGCGACCAGCTATCGCGGCAACGGCTATAGAACGACGAACGCGCGGCGCATACTCATTCCCGACGTGCGCCCGATCTGTTTTGTAATGCAACATCCATCGTGAATAGAATCCGTGGAGGAAACGTGCTTTAAACGCGATCTCTCGTATAATCCCCAGTCTTTTTTCTGATGCGGCCAATCGGATTCAATACGTTTCGAATTAGATTTTCAAGATGGTGGACAAATGGTAGACGAGAGCGGGGGCGTCTTTCTAGTCGGCGGGTGTGCATCGACATCCTGTCAGCCTGATCTTAATGAAAATTGTATTACACGAGGAATCAGAACCCTCTTTTCATGGGAGAGTATTCACTTATACTTGTTTCTATGCACTTATACTCATATATTTTTTAATTTCAGATTTATTTTA